TACCATTTGACTTTAGTCGTTATCACAAAGGCTGAAGTTTATCAGAACTAAATATAAGGATCATATAAAGTACAAAAGAGGATGATTATGAATTAAAGTATAAAAAAATAGTTAATGAACTCAATCAAGATGAACCCAGTTTAAATGTGTACCCTTACGGGCGGAACAGTATTTTTATTTTCTTTAATTAATCATCGGATGCAGATTACTGGTCATTGCAAGAGTGCACGGAATGTCAGAGCTATTTTTCTATTCTTAATAGAGTAGAACTCCGAACGTAGAGTTTTCTTCATTAGCGTACATTTCATATCATAATTAAAATCGAAACTTAGGGGATAATATAAAGTTCTTTATCGCGTATTTCTGATTACTTTATTAGAATGAAATCGTATGATTTAATCTTCATGATGGAAATGTTATCACAGAGATTCAGTGGTTGAGCTAAAATATTAGACATGAACTTGTTGAATATAAACTTACAGAGTAGTACAGCTTCAAATTGCTTGCGGTTTATGAGATGAGTTAATAAACTTCCGATATAACACATTAGGGAGTTTTTTACCAATCTAGTTTTCACGGTAAAAGGAGCATTTGACTTTCTCTAAGCGCTTCAATTTTGGAGAAAATTTTTGACAATGAACATATAGAAATGGGGAATAAATTAAGGGATTTCCGCAAATTTAATATATTTTGACATAGTTTAGAAATTGTTCTTGCTGCTACTTTTAATTATAGAAGATAGAAATAGAATCTAGGTAGTGATAATATCGTTTAGTTTCGAACTGTCGGAGGAACAAAGTTTCTCCGTAATTATTCTTCAAATGCGCAGCAGAAATCTTCTCAATAGGAGGCGAATCGATTTTACATAGCGTAGCAAAAATATATAAACTAGACCATTTAATGTAAGAGATCCCTCAGCTGTGTCTAAACCTATGAATATTATAGTATTTGATAAATAAAAAGTTAACTTTATATCATGTTAAACGCCGCATCAGTATATCGTAGCATGAAAGATAGAGCATGGTGGAAGAATCACTGTATATCATCTATAAAATATTACCAAGGCGATTTAGTAGAAGCTTGGATTTGGTGTACAAGTATAAATTCCGCAGTTTGGACATTTAGCTCAGTTATATTTCAGAATGAAATGAAAGTAAACTGCTAACCCTGTAATTTGGGCTGATATCACGGTTATCAGCCGAATTTTATTAGCATAAGTTTCTAGATCGGGACATAAAGAAAAATAAACGATATGCGCATAAGTAAATCATTTACCGTATTAGATGTTAGTATCAAATCATAGAAATTTTGAAAAAAGTAAGCATTTAGGTCTAATGTGAAAATAACGTAATTTTACATTTTTGGAAAGTTAGTGAAATTTAATTTGATAAACTTTTACAAAATATTATCGAAGCTAGATTTTAATCACTCTGATAAATTTCCCTGAGAATGAAAAACTATGGTGCTAAACTTAAAATTAATTTCTTTGATCCCTATTTCACCTTCCGAAAAGTAAGCGTTCTCGAGATTGTATACAGATGCGAAGCGATACTGATTGCTTACTTAAGCTTGCTTGAACTTTTTCCGTAGCTAAATCGTGATCTCTTTAAATTGAATAATTTAAATATACGTCGCGTTTTGCTGCTGTGATATTTTCGATAGTTGAATTTTTCATTCTACTAAGGTAGTTTAATTTATTACAGTAATAAAATACGTAGGATAAGCCATCATTGATACGATTGGTTTTAAATTCTTAAATAAGAAAATTAATTATTTTAGTTACGTTTATAGGAGAACAATTGATTATTCAACGAGGATTTCCCCTAGTTCCACATTAAAATTTACGCGCTTTAAGCAGGGTTTAAGAATGTTAGCCAATTTTTTCCCGTTTATGATATGCGATCACGTATATTTAACTGATGTAAAACTCTATCGCGAAATCCATGATCAGCTAATCAATTTATCATTGAAGGCCACAGTTTACCCATTTGTTAGTCATCTCCTTATAGATATATGAATATTATGATATACCTTTAGAATCCACACTCGCTATACTTTGCATACTGCGTGCACTTGCACTTTTTACTTACATTTTTGTCTAAAGATTGTCGTCACGAGATTCTTTTAGACAAACTTTAATATTTAAAGATATCAGTTACGTATATCCCAGCAGTAAATCCATAATAACATTAAAGAAATATAAACCTACACAATGCATCATGTCTGAAATGAAAAGATTGATTAAGTTGCATCAAAGTTAATCATTTCATGTGTTAAATTCTATAGCCAGGATTGCTAATAAGACGGTTATGAGGTGGTATCCTGACTTTCACATTTTACTATTAATTGTGAGTAAGCTGTAGTCGTACTTCATTATTAATTGGTATCTGGACATGGTTTTTGAAGCTAAAAATTTTAGCCTAAACGATTACCACTACGCCAAGAATTGCAACTGCTAGCAATTTTCGGTCTAGTCATAATTAAGTATTTCTCTTAGAAAGTCTAAAAATTGTATAGTTTATTGCCTAACTTCAGATGAACTGCAATATAGACACCATGAGTGGAAAATATAAATGCCTTAAGAGAGTAGTAAGTAAATTTAAAATTGCTACAATACCAATATTTCATCAGGATAATTAATGAAGCTCACGAAGGGGCTTCGGTAAGAATACGAGTAAATAGTATGCTGCATCCTATCAACTGCCATTACTTAATTTTTGCAATTAATTAAAGTCTTTAATTAAATTAGCCTTAATTGGTATTTTAATAACTCTATAGTATGTTAATTCTCGGCTAGTTCTGCCGTATGAGAGGACAGGTTTACTCATCTGGCCATACTTAAATTATAATATTACATAATACTCTTATTGTTAAAGTTGCGTGGTTGAAGATGTGGATAAGGAATAAAATTCTTCAAAATTTACGTAAAATTTCCTATCATTTAATGCACATAGGAATTTACTGTTGTATTTATGACTTGATACGTGATGTTCCCTAGATTGGACAAAGGTACAATTAATTAATAAACGATACCGCAAACATGAAAAAAGTATTTATGTATGGATGATAACAAACTGCGCTAAAAAATTTTATCATTGCTCGGACTTTCCGGCATGTAACTTGATGTTAAAAAGTGTCGCGAAACCATTTTAAAAATTATAATACTAGAAAATCATTTAAAGAACTTTAGTACTGAAGTTATGAAAACTTAAAAAGACCTAAGGCTATGAAGAAAAGCGTTAATTTTGTAAGGGCAAATTTATCGCTAGGGGATTGTTGTCATAACAATAACTGGTTGGATTTGAGAAAAATATTTATCAATGAATAGTTTCGAGAAATGAAAATTTTGATATTTATTATTGATGTCATTAACAGAAGAGAACTACACAGAAGGAAATACTGGTATAATGATAGCAAACGAATTTGTGCAGTTATGAGCTCAGAAACTCAGAGAAGGAACTTTACATCCTATTAGCCATGCCAATCAAAACATTAGATAAATTCAGATCTGTATTCGAAAAAGCGTGAGCTTAATCGGTCATTTTAAACACGTAAGATATTTAGATAATATAATCAAGAATATTAGATAAGTGGATTTTGTTTGTCCTTTTTGGTTTCTTTTTAATTTTTGGGTAGCAAAATGCTTTATAAATGAATGCGAACAATTATAATATGACCTTTGGTTGCTAAACACATACTAGAACCTACATTCAGACTTGTTTATTTATAACCCACTACATCCTCATAATAAGACGAGCGATCTATTTTGAAACAGAGCAAATACGGCAAAAATAGGATATATCGATTGTTTAAAGTATTGCTAGTTACCATAGAACTTTAATCGTAATATTATTCTTTAATAATAAACGGAGCTTAAAGTGGAAGTCCTCTAAAACTAACCGTTATGTTGATATTATTTTCGTAAGTAAACATTTTCTTGAATAAGGGCAGGTTTCGTAAAGTGAAGGCTATATGGATAATTCGAATTCGTTTATAATTATGGATTAAAGGATGATTTTGACCACTACAAAATAATATAATACGCATTTGTAGCCTTAAAAATATCATGCATACCAGAAAATGATATTTCTTGTAATATGTGGCGCCATGTGTGCTAATTACTAAAAAATTACAATAGTGTTAGCGCCTTCATTAATAAATAGACATGGCTACCGAATTGATGATAAACTGAATTCAAGTTTACACATAGTGAAATAACAATTACGTGATCTACACGTACGTAGGGAATCCATGTACTATGATCTCGTTCAATTATATAGAGTAATTACATGCTCCATTAAAGCCGAAATTGAAATTCTTAACGATTGATTGATTTGATCGAAGTAGAATTTTTTATATTGAATTGAGAGTGTATCAATAAAATAAATTGTAATCTATCTTGTTATGAATAATTCTTATAATTATAAACTTAAGGACCGAAATAATTAACTGATTCAGTAAAAAAAGTAGGATCAAAGGCTACAGGAAATATTGATATGGGGTTGGGAGGTTGTCTATATCATAATTATGTGCAATATCATTACTAGCTTTCAATGTTGTTAACATGCCTGAATATTCTGGTAGATTAAAAATTAAAAATTATTATTGAGGGATATATTTTTCATTAATAGCTTTGTTTTATATGCATAATATTTTTGTAAAATCTTATTCAACCATAAATAAGATTTATTCGTAAGAAGGCCTTCCAAGCAGAAATGATTTATGCCTAGGGAGTACTAGAGCCTGACTCATTTTCGGCTCAAAGCGAACAATTAGACTGATATATAATAATTTTAATAGCAATCTCGCTAACTTTGTGTTATAGCAAGATAACCAATTAGACCAGTGATGCGTGATAAAGTTCAAATATCTAAAATATTACTTATTGAAGCGAATGATCAATATTTTAAAATAGCTGATATTAGTAAAAACCTATTAATGTTTTAATCCAGATTCTATCCGTCAATCTTTATAGCATACATTAATCTGGAGCTACCGTGATGATTAGGACATACCCAAATCTTATTATAGCTGTCGTAATAGTACTTTTTGGCCTTCCGCATCAGTGGTCATCAGCTAATCAAAATATAGCAAGAGATTTATACATTGGAGGACTATTTCCTTTAAATGATTCTGAATGGGTTGGCACAAATCGTATTTTATTGGCTACTCAACTAGCTATTCAACATGTAAACGAAGATCCGACCTTACTTCCGGATTATAATTTGAAATTGATATGGAATGGAACTAAAGTAAGTGAAATAAATCTTCTAATTTGAGCTTGGGTCTGACTTTATAAATAAAAAAATCTGCAATAATAGCTAAGGTCTAATTTTGGTGAATGGAGTAATCTTCAATTGTCAGCTTACTGTACAGTTCATAATAGTAATTTAGTAACTTTAGTTGTACTATAGATTCAAAGTATGTGTATGCAATCTACCTTATATCAGAACGGAATTACTGTTATAGGTTGTATACCGTTAATATATTATTACTGAATGAGAGTTTGAAGATCTCTATTTTTCTAATTAGGCTATAGTTATCTACCTTTGGTTATTCTCGACTATGACATGATTAGCTATGATTAATCATCAGTATTTTATTTGAAACATTTCTACTAGCTAGAAGACATTAGTTAATAATACGTATATACTCGTACTCAGCCCAGTTGCTCAAGATTCAATTTCAGTTTATTTCTTTAATGCTTCCGTCATGGCTCTTTAAGTATTTTTGGATCTATTTATTATTTTTCGGGACGGATGGATCTCGCTTTGACAATTGTAAGCGAATTTAAACTTGCTGCTAGCGATTTTGAAATAGAAGGGATCTTTGTCGCCTAATTATTGTAGTTATGCGTTTAATAGCAAAACATATTGAAGATGCGAGGATTGTTATTTCGCTATGCCGTAAACTTATTTTGCAACGGCTAGTTACTAATAAACCGTGGCATTCTGGTTTTAGTAGACTTTAGTTTATATACATTGGAAGGTTGAAAAATTCGGTTAGAATAAATATTAGTACTGTAAAAAGTATTTATATAATCTGTGTAGCTTATGTTTGGCAGTATTTCATAGCCATGAAATATTCACTACTGTTCTCGGTATAACCTAGCAAATATTCGAACCTTTATTTCTTATGCAAATATCAGTTTAATTTTTCTTTTTTACTTTAATACTCAGTCTAGTTAAATTATTTTGCTTCAATACGTGTAAAATACGGATAGAAATATATTTCACAGATAGAAAATTAACCAAATAACTAGAATTAGTTTAAACATCTAGAAAATTTAACTGTACATAGAAATCAACATGATATTACTGATCATGATAATAAGATGATGCTATTGATATACACCTAAATATCTGAGATCGCTCTAAATTCTTTTCGTATTTGGATTAATTGCTGATAGACACGTTGAGAATTTTTTCGAATAGTCGGTCTTTAGCGTAATAATAAATTTTGCTATATATTTAAAGAGAAATTTACGTAATCATTTCAAAATAGATTTTCAAGTTGTTGTTTCTGTAACATTAATTATGCTATTTCGGTAATAATTAATAAAGCATGACGAGTTGATGACCACTTCTACGGTATAGTTAGATTCTAGGGTCTAGTAGTTAGACTCATAAGACTTAATGGTTTGCATCGTTTACATTATTGCTTATACGAAATTTTGCTTTTGTTCCTTCATTCATAGTCGTAAATATATTGAGACAAGGTTTTGTTTTTGTAAAATTTGACGCAGAAAATGCTTTCATGCATAAGCGTTTTTAATTTTTCGTAGTCGACATTTTTCTGTTAGAAATTATGTTAACTGGAAAGTAAAAAATTAATGAAATTGATCGAAATTTTTATTTTATGTTTTAACTCGCAAAAAAGTACAACTGATAGAAAGGAATTTATAATTTGACTATAAGAAAGTAACATAAAGAAAAATATGATATCGTATTTTTGACTATACTGCACTAAATGTGGAAATCATTTATGTCTATGTAAATGGTTTAGATCATTTTAATAGGAGATTTATTAGTAATTAGTCAATCATCATTGAGAGATAAACAACTATATTCCTTCAACTCACTTCTTTCATAGACAGTTTAAACATTATGCAAATATAAGTAATAATACAATGTACTCGTACGCCGTGTAAGTAATTGTAGACATCTGACCAGATGATTTTGGCAAATGTAATTAGCCTTGAAGTAATACTTTTGAAAAATTAAAATGACGATTACGTTTAGAGAAGATTTGACTTAATAGACAAATCTATCCATTTATCAACGCATGGTACAAAGATTACAAAAGCAATGTTTTAGAGCTAAATGTTTACAAACTAGTATATAGCCCTGCAATAATTTTTTAGATCTAAAAATTAATTTGCTTTGTCTGTAGCTGTGCCTAGTTTTGCAGAACATTGATATTCCTTAGTTAAATGTGTAGGTTTACAGTATATTGTTTTGAATTGAGTCAAGCAATTATTAGTATCTTGAGTTTCAACTGAGGCAGTTTTTGTAAAAATCTTCATGTCTAGTCGCAAAAATATGCGTTACATCTAGATAAGGAAAAAATTTTAGAACTTTCTCTTTTACTTATTAACAAGGTTTTGGCATGAACAAACTAGAAATGTCTCCATTAAAAGTTCAAGTTGTATATCAAAATATATAATATTTCACACCGGTACTATCGATATCAGTTATAATGAGGGTTCATTCCGTAAAATAAAGAAATATTGCTTTTCCCTGATAATTTGCATTTTCATCACACCCATGGCAATTGTTGCGCTTGTTACTGTTTTAAATCGATTTGGGAGGGCATTACATATTTCGTGATTTAGTATGTCGATTCAGAATTGAAATTAATTTTAGCCCTTTGATACGGATTTAAAGAACACATATAAAGTTGAATGGTTCTTATAATCTATTACGGATAAACACAAAATACCGATTACATTCGCAAGATGGTAAATTTTTTATTGCGTATCAATTATTTCATGGCAGAGTTCAGTTCCGTATGGCTTAAAAATTCTTTATGAATATGTCTACCATGCACCTAAGAAAATTATGTTGCTTGGTTCGGGGTATTCTAGCGTAACCGAACCTATCGCCGAGACATCGAAATTATGGAATCTAGTTCAGGTAAGGCTACTTTTTAACTAAGATAGCTGTACTATCGCCAAAAATAGCATAAAGTGATCGTTGAGTTTCACGTTGCTCTCGATATACTATATATTTTATTGTCCAATTGGTTAACAGTAAAGTTAAATTATTATAATGGCTCAGCATATGACCATGATTTAGCTTATTTATTTGGTGAAGCATATATTATTTAAAATCATATATGCATGATTATCTTAACGTAAGGCTACTAAGAGTTACATTTGTCAACAAAACATGCATTAAGTATTAGCAATTGCGACAAATATCTTAATATTAATCACTGCGGATTATCCGCTAAAAACTACAAAATAAATTATGAGATAAGACTTAGCTGAAATTATTAATCTATTTCAATTTCAGTTTTCCTATGGTGCAACTTCCCCTTCGCTATCCGATAAGAAAAAATTTCCTTTTTTCCTACGTACAATACCTTCGGATGCTTCTATGAATGGCCCACGCGTTGCTTTATTAAAAGCCCTTCAGTGGAAAAAAGTCGGCTTGATTTACCAGTCCGAAAATATTTTTGCTGTTGTAAGTCTTGTTATCTTTAATTGATATCATTTCGAGTTTTTCCATTGTACGACCGTCAGAGATGTTAAGAAGATCTGAGCAAACATGACATATAGCTTCATTAATTTATTTTTGCTAGACTATGGAAGAATTAATTAAATTGCTAAAAATTGAAGGTATTTCGGTGCTAGCTTCCACAGTATTTACCAATAATCCTAAAAACCAGATTGAACAGTTGAAGGTAAAATATGCCTGCATCGATAAAGATATCAGAGCGTATATATGCATTCCTTATTTGTTCTACATTTACGAAATTAGAAATGTCAATGTAGCGAGCAAAGTTGTCATCGCTACAATCGCGTTTTAATTCATTCATTCATTTTAAGTACATTAAGCACCTTAATGCTACGTAACACTAAGATTTACTTAAAATATGTATTTTAGGCTAGTGACGCTAGAATAATTATTGCAAGCTTTTATGAAAAAGAAGGTAGAAAAGTTATGTGTGAGGTAAATATTGCAATGATCGTAATATTGTGAATCAGATCATAAAATTTTGAACGGTTTAAAATATTTTAATCGATGATTAGCGATATAGGTAAAGGTTCATCGCTTACAGATTGTATTAATGATGAAATGATTAAAACCACTGCGGGTGATTTATTCTCTTGTTTGTATTAACCACCAAGCTTATGTCAGTATATCGATACTTTTAATATTCAGTTAGTAGTTGTATTACAATATTTAATTTCCCTTGTATTTTTTACAAAAGATGGAAGTATGTTGATTACAAACCAAGTAATTATCAATTAAGTCTTCATTTTATTATATAATTCGGTTCAAGTATTGGGTGGAGAGTTTGTTGATTAATTCAGATGACTACCACTATTAAAAATTTTTAGCAGTTCAAGTATAGCACCAGCTTAAATTTCTATTAATCATAATACTTCAGAAATTGAAACGAGTTCTGACTTTAATACGTCAATAACGAATAAATTTTGGCTTTAAAATTATTCATATGGCTTCTACTCATAAATCTGTGAATTACAGGCTTATCATCAAGGCTTGAAAGGCCAAAAATATGTCTGGATATTTTTGGGATGGCTTAGCGGATACTGGTGGAATCATGACGTCAACACTGGCACATCGAATTGCACTAGAGAACAAATGATTGAAATGGTTGATGGTCATTTAGCAACAGATACTGTGTCCTTTTTTCAGAGTGAAAATGGGATATCACCAATTCAAGGCCAGGTAATTATTTTATTAGTGATTGTAAGGTAGACTTTCTTGCAAGAATTTTCAATCGAATTAATTTTATTCCATATTGATATATCCAATACATACACTAAGAACTGCTGATCGGAAGTTTAGCAATAATATTTATTGATAATAATAACCCTCATAATTATTCATTTATGCAGAATGTTCAAGAATATATGATCGAGAGAAATATTACCTTGATGGAAGATCATGAAAGTTACGGCTACAGTAATTTCGCATATGATGCGATTTATGCTATGGCATTAGCATTAAATGAAACTCATAATGAAATGCAGCCAAATCAGTGGTTGACAGATTTCTCCTATGATAATCATCAGATGGCTCAGACATTAATTAGAAACTGTTACAAAGTTAACTTTACAGGAATTACGGTAGGTTAATATCCCACATACCCCCCTGTTAGACATCTATAGAGAACATTAAAATGCTTAGAAGATTACTTGAAATTAGCTTCAATTCTATATTCTACTAGTTATACTGTTATAACCAAAGTCGGTAATGCAGCCATTACCAGTGTTGGATACGACGTAATTAAATTTATAAATGCTCGGTACTACATTCGGCATTTTGATATAGTAGAACAATTTAATATAAGTGACTTTATGAATTGTTTCAACGTAATATATAGTCAGTTAGTTTATATATTAGCACCACTACTAAACTAGGCTAATGTTCTAGTTGTATGAACTATATTTATAATTGCTTATGAGCGTTGTGTTACCGGTAGGGGCCTGTGGAATTTGACAGTAAGGGTGATCGCATTGGAGTTGATAGCATTACGCAATTGCGATGTGAGTATTAGCAAATAAAACTCGAAGCTATTTGTTTGATACAATTATTAGAATACAAACACCAGGCAAACAGAAACGAATTTTATTGTAAATAATATCATTCCTGACATTTAATACGGATAATATAGATAGTAACGGAAAACCCAAGAAAGTCATTATTGGATTTTATTATGCGGCCACCTCCATATTACAGTGGAGTAACAACAGTATTAGCTGGCCTAGTAAGTACAGTTTTAAAGTGATAATGGTTATACTATAGCGATAAAATGTGTTATAATTTGATGAATATACGTACGATTAGAATGATTTCTAAATTTCAAAATTAGATGGAAAAAAGCCGCAAGATTCTACTGTAATGATACGCTCACTGGAATATGTATCGACGCCTATATACATTGTCATGTGCGTATTAACATCATTTGGCATCGTTGTTGCCTTGATTTTCCTCTTTATCAACAATTACTACCGCAAGAACAGGTATTCTGTAATAGAGAAGCACTATATGTAAAAAGTATATATTTACTTAGCTGCTAGCCAGGAATTATAAAAGCGCTTTACTAATGACTATTACACAATTTAAAATCAACATCTATCAGTACAATGCTCAGCTCATCATTGTATTCATATTCTAGTTTCATTAAAATTTCAAGTCCACGATTGAACAACATTATTTTAGTTGGCTCGGTCTTACTATATTCTACAGTCTACGTTCTTGGACTAACTTCAGGGGATGCAAGTAAAACCAGTCAAGCTGGTTCTAAATTTTCTACTGTATGCGTGGTAAGTATGATATTAATTTTACGGTTTCTTTCTAAGTTAATGACAATAATAAATTCCAGTGGTATAGTCTTAGTTCATATTATTGAAATTGTTGGATAGTATTTGATATATTTTCACACTGTATTACAATCTGCAATATTTGTAGCGCGTTTCAGAGTTTTAATTAATATCATCTTCATTTTTCGACGCAGGTCAAAACTTGGTTACCAGTATTTGGCTTTACCTTAGGATTTGGTGCTCTATTTGCGAAAACTTATCGCGTATATAAGATATTCAAGAACAAAAAATTAAAGTTATCTGTAGGTCTTAAATATTGATACTAAAATTTATAAATTTAATTTCAATTGCTTAAACCCTATATATAACTTGTGCAATATCTTTTTTATCTTTTACCTTAAACGAAATACTATAGCTTTGGGCCTTAACTGATACCCATCTGCTCGGAGGTGTTTGTCTCCTCCTCTTAGCTGATATAGTTTTATTATCGGTATGGCAAGGTGTCGATCCTTTACAGCGAGTAACGAAAGATTTAGCAGAAAAGGTTAGCTACCATGTTGAGTTGAAAATTACTGAATCTATTAATTTGATGCACAATTATTGAAAGCAGATGTACCAGATTCTGATTTCAGGTTGTATACTAGCTTATTACAGTATTCTCAAAATAAAGTAGCAGTATAAATATTTCAGTTGCATCAGATATTTCACATATGGTAGCATTGGAATAAATACGTGCTATTTTTATTATTTTTTGTATAGCCAATCCTAAATGATTCCGATGCGGTTCGGATCCCTGTTATTGAGTTGTGTGCAAGTCGTGACTTTAGCATATGGTTGACGATTTTGTATACTTACAAGGGTTTACTATTAATTGGTGGTATTTATTTAGCCTGGGAGACACGTAAAGTCAGTATACCAGCGTTAAATGATTCACGTTATATCGGTGCATCCGTTTATAATGTGGTTATCTTATGTGCAATTTGCATACCATTATCAACTGTTTTGGAGGATTATCCAAGTGCAGCTTTTATTTTAATGTCAGTATTTATCATTTTTTGTACAACTGCAACATTATTCTTGGTTTTTATCCCAAAGGTAACTTGAAATTTCCTTTTAGTAATATTACTGAAGTTAATTATAACATAAATGCTGTAAATAAATTATGTTAGTTTAGCAAGCATTCTTATTGCCGCTAGGTATGCTTGTATGGAATTTAATAGTTAACAATATAATAATTTAGATAGCTTTAATACTTAATGTAATATAGTTATTATTTGATAGAATATTACTTTAATACTTTAGATTACAGAGCTGAAGAGAATTAACGTTCCTGAAACTATAACTTATCCTAACATGCCCATCACCGAGTGCGGAAGTTCAATTTATCCTCACCGGATGACAAGTTTTAAAGAAGCTGATTTATTATCCAAAGTAACACGATTAGAAGCATCTTTGCATCGGGTAAATAGGCAGTTTAGTTATGTTGTTAGATGTATATCATTTTTTTGCAGTTATATATTTCATTTACCCATAAAAAAGTATTTAGAAGTATTACCGTACACAATCAAGGAGCCATTCATATTATTGACAGCATCAATGATAAATATATCTGTCTTATTTCTTTAGATGTAAATTATCTCGAATCTTATCTTAATTATTTAAACTTTAATTTTTATTGATATTTCATTAGAAAAACAATACTATTGATGAATTAAGGAGGCTACTTAATAAAAAAGATAAACCCTCCGCAATTGAGAATATCAATTGCGTAACTGACTATACGGATTACGATGATACAACTGACCATGAAACTGGTTGTGTTTCGCCCCAGATTCTTATGGATTAATATTTTAATCTTAACAAGTCTTGGTATTTATGTATTTTTTAGATATCAAACTTCAAATTTTAATATAATTTATTTAAGTTATTAGATTATATGATTTTATTTCTATCAGAATGATGAAATAACAGTCGTAAAATATTGAAAGAATATGTATGACTAAGTGGCTTTGCTATAATTTTACCTTTTATTTTAAATTAAAAATGCTATGGCTATCGATACTGTAAAGTTCGTTTAAAAATATTCATGCTAATAGCAAATTTTATTTCTAATATGATGACTAACTAAAATATGGATACTCTCCATTGATAAATTTGTATTATAGTAGGTTAATCATTAAGAAAATATGATTACGTGTCTAAGAGTTGTACATTGCTTCAAAACAAATTTTGTCGTAATTCTCATGTTATTTATTCCATATCAATCTTTCGATACAAAATTTTAACGGAAAGTGATTTCGATACCTTTTTGCGGGTGTATAGTGGTACCATTTGATGTAAAAAAATGCGAACTGCAGGAAATTGCGCTTTCTAATCTTGTTCATGTAAGATCGAAGAATTCGTACAGTATTGCATTTAATACTGTAGATAGAATGATTGCATCGGATAGTTCATTAGTTTTTAATTTTGCATATTTGATTGCAATTTCGGACGAAATGAGACCATATGCTCGTATATCCTCTACTGATTCTAAGTCATAATCTATGGATCATTAAATAAATCTATATTGCCTAGTCATTTACAGCAGCTAAGAAATTATATTACTTTTTAAGCTATTTGAAAATATTATTTCCACTTCAATTGAAAAATCTCGAGTCTCCCAATGCTTTATTTCAACTAAAGGCACTATGCTCTCCATAATATTACGTATGGAAAAGTGATTCGCTATTTAGAACTGAATAATAGCGTTAGACTGATAACTTAAAGCCAAATCTGTATTAATTATGGTAATATTAAATCTGTTTCTGCCAATAATATAATATAATTATAGCTATTTACTTATATATTTAATTTAAACTTTTATAGCAATTGACTATTGCCTTTTCGATAGTCTATGCATAATAATAGCTGTAAATGATGCTCAGCTATACCCGTCTTCAAATAATTTCATAGCATGGCTACAAAATGTACTATGTTATATTAGTAATCCTGTCATATGTAAGCAAAAGTGTTGCTAATTGAACTGCAATTTATTGTAGATAAGTATGTGATAGTTATAGTATATTGATATTGTAACGAGAAAATGTTATGACATGCTTTAATTTAACGATAGCAAACTAACTTAATGATATCTCAAAGTTCTACATGGTTGCTACTTTTAGGATGACGATTCTAATATTGTTCAAGAATATTCATCATATTAGAAAGTGGTATTTTATGGTATGCTTTTTAAATTGAGATTACTTCAATTGTACATATGATATGCAGTAAAAATTATTGCGATTCGCGATCACATTAAAAGAATTAATAAAAATTTGCTATGTCATCTGTCTTTAATATTTTCTTTGCTGCTCGATGAGGTATTTCCAACCATAATTATCACGAATCGCTACTGGTAAGTAGCCTTTATAACCGGTATTAGTGCAAACATATACCGATATGTTTAGATATTAAAGTAACATTATGTCACAAACCAGCTTCGTGACGAGGATAACGTAAAACAAATCTCCAAATTACCATAGTCTCTGGGATTCAGTATCCCTTAACTACCTCACAAGAATTTAGACGCCTTTGCTTCTACGTTAAAGCAACTATACAATTGAGAACTACTTTATTTAACTATCAGACGGGCTTATATACCCTTCTACAGCAGCTAACATTCACGAGTCATCTTATAAAAATACTTAGGTGAAAACATCTACTAACTAATTTTCACAGTCGGACTACAATATGTTCATGCACAGAATCATTTCAGTGCACATTACAGCACAGCATTAAATTTACTGTAACACATTTATAATTAAAGTAATTCCTACTGTAAGTAACTAGTTGTAATATATTATCACTATATTATATTAACCAAACTTAGATGGCTATTTCTTCACGGTAGTTCTTACCGTGACACATTAATACAGTATAATACGATGTTATGTGAGGATTGCGAATAGCCTAGATTTTTATCGCGATCTCCTTACTTGCTCTATATCGGCTCAGTTTGTTTAGTTAGTACACTGAAATGTTTTTAACAGTTCTGAATTATTTAAGTTAGAATATGAAGTTATATAAAAGTATTTAGGAAGTTTGTGAAACGGCTCATAGTGTAATCTACACTATCAAATGATATAGTCATTCAATACGGTTTTGGTCATAATTCTCCCTTTGGCAAATATGCAATCTTCAGCGTACACATTTTGAATTCCTGAGATATTAGGCTATTAAGAGGAAGCATAATGAAATAGCAAAGTAGACCTATTCTTTATTTATACTTAAAAATAATATAAGTAATACGATTTCTGTAGTTATCTTGTTACATTTTCAGAAAACGAATGTAAGATATTGCAAAAGATATGGATTAAATCAAAGTAATCATAACTAAGGTATGAACCTTACAGGGGTTACAATTAAAAATAGATTACGTATACGTTTATAGTAATAATACTTTATAGATTTAACTTCGAAGAGTATATAGTGACTCAAATATAAGCAATTATTACCTATTGCAATTATCGTAATTTACGTTAACAGGTTGTAACATCAGATAGGACTCGAAAAAGTCATGCATGCGCGTTTACACAACTTTCGAACATATTTACCAACAAATTTAATGATAGGAGATATACGTATAATAGTAATCGATGAGATAGATAGCAGATATAAGATATTTCTTTTAAAGGACGTATTCATAAATTCTCATCTAATTAAATTAATATACGTTATAGGATAAACTCAAGCATACAACGTTATGCTGCTATTAGGTAAATGAATCCTAATTCTGTACAATATTATATATGTTATCAATAAGTAAATTATGTTAGATACTTTATGATCACATACATAAACAAGCAGCACACTATAACTCCAGCGATAAATATCCTGTAATCCTATACAAAAATTTAAAATAGAAAATTAAACGAAATATTTATGTGTTAGATGTCATAGAGTAATCATAACTCTTTCAAAAGGTGATAGTGTAGAAAGCAATAGTTAATCATTAACAAAAGTACCAAGATAAAAATATTTACCATTACCGTTGAATCCAATAAGATGTAATGACAATACAACGGTAATGCCAACATCACTTAAAAAAATAGAGGAATTTTAAGGTATCGTTTTGTACGTTACCTGAGCAGCTCGTTTATTGATCATTCTCATGACGGTCGTGGATAATCCTAACGTATTGCCGATATCTAATAACCTTTTATGGGTATTCTAGTAGGTAGTGATGGATGCATAATCAGAATTTAGCGAAGCATTCTTTTATATCATGCTAATTAAGTACAGTTACAATTATCACAGCGGTAAAATAATAACGCGATAGCATTATTTACTTTTAATTAAATTTTCAGGGCGCAGAATTGAGTTAAATAGAGTGATATAAATTTTTGGAAAATAGAGAAATCAGCAGATTGAATATTACTGTATCTACCTTTAGAATGCTTTTTTGGTTATTAATATCCGACATGATATTTGCACCAGAAGTAAGCAAATCGTCCATTTGTCGATTTGCATTTGTCAGTGATCGATTATGTAATAAAGAATTGTCCATATCGATAGCTGTCTCTTGCTGAAATGGATAGAAAGGATAATGTAATCTGCTTATTACTTAATTACCTAACTGAGATGTACGGTAATAATGAAAAGACTACGTTGAAAAAATATTATAACTAAGCTAAATACATACATTGGTTTTATAGTCTTGGGATAAGAGTTCTTCTCGCTCTCTAGCCTCTCGCTGCTAGAAATATAATAATAAGAAAAGATGTTAGAAAATTATTGAAGAAGAATGGTAATGATTTTATAAGAACCCATTTATTGCAATTAAAATGACAAATTGAGAACAGGGCCCATTCATTTTATTGCTATTAACTTAAAGAAGATCTACCTTTGTTTCTTTAGCTTGAAGATATTGATTATATCCAGATTGTAAGTGTTTGTAATCATATACCACTTGATCTATTCGGCTATCATAAGAGATGAATTTGAGGTTACAATTATCTTATCAAGAATAGCTTTAATACGGTTGAAATTATCAGGGATTCGATTTGACTAAGCTACGATTATTTGCAGATGTCTGCATATTACTAACTTGGAGATAATACGAGAATAATATTAACAATTTTATTATAATTATTGATAACTGGATATTAGGCCAATCCAGAAAGCGCATAATTTAAAATTATCATGCTTAGATAATTCCATATCATCCTATATTACACTATCGTCAATCCTTTAAGTTTTTAACCGTTATTTAAACTTGGAGGGACTAATGATAATGTAATTGTCACGATATTAATTCTTGTTATGTGCAAATTAATTTCTAGTTGGATGTGATAATGGACTATGACATGATTATGTTTATTATGATATTTAATTTAGCACCAACCTTACTCATTATTGAGTTATTATTAATTTTGAGTCTCTTAAATGATTTAGTAGTGCGGATTCTCTAGGTCTTAATTGATCGTTAATTGACTTATATTAATTAAGGTTGTCTACTGTTAGATTCTATAATGTGTTATATTATAAATTTATCTTTCATTCTAATACTAATGTAAGTAAAATTGTAGAACCGGCATATTTCAACAATGCCCCATTAGTTTATGGCAAATGTATACAAGCTAATGTAACGTTTTGATTGCTCAGTTACTATCTCTTCGTTGTACACGAAGGTTCATACTATTTGTATATATACACTTAGAATAAAGACTCTTAAAAAGCTTAACAAACTTCTAGCCACTTATAGTACTTGTGAGACAGTAGTCAGTCTAATTCAGAGTATTACTTTATCTCCTTAGTTGGTAGGAGCTCGCTAGGTAGCTAGTAAAATAGTTTAGTCGGATCACAAAGACAAATTTGTGACAGTAATATAGCAAGATATGGAATTGTCTAAGATTGACATTTTTTAACATTCTGCAATCTGATCCGGCCTACTGGATATGTTCTAGACGCATACGTGTATCTAAATAAATTCAGTTACTATATACAGAGCAGATATTAAGGCAAAAGTTTTACTCTCTCTAAATGATATCCAGTTCCCCAAATTTTAGAGCAACGGTAATTAAAATTTGGAACTATGTATGTGGTTAGACAGTAGCGGTATAGTAATGTTTGTAATGGAAATTAGAATTGGCGATAGTACTTCGTCTCATAGGGATATACTGTATGATTGCCATTATACTTTTAAACTTCGGAACTGGCTTTATTACAGGCTTACTAAAATGCTATAGTCAATTAATATATAGATGGCTAATCTATCCATTGTAACAATTATTACAATCGGTGCAGGATAATTATTAATCAGTTATTAGAATTACTGTATCAAATCCATTCCTTACTATTTTACATTTTGGCGTTGAGCTGCAGGCAACTTGGAAACTTGAATTTGTAATTTTTCACAATTTGTGGATAATTGCTGGAGTCGGCAAGTAATGCCATTTTCACTAACTGATTTAATAATCCAAGAGTGAGATCGAGTTTTATACCCACAATCGTATGATCATAAGACAGTATATCGATTGATTAAATGTGGCTAACAATATCATTACGCGAATAAGGAATTATTTGACTAAATAGGAGGGCAACATCACTTAGTACGACAACTGACGACGCAATCAATTTCCTATAGATAGCTACATAGCCATGGAAATAGCAATAAAATTGTTGTGTACACATGATACAATAGTTTACTATCACTAGATACCTTTGGCTTGCTCATCGTCTTGGTAGGCAATTTGCTGAAGATAACTTTGAATTTCATGGATTAATCTATGATCGACACGTATAATAATGTAGAGTTAGTCCAATCACTTATTCGGAAACATTCCTACGAATCATTTACTTTACAACTTAGCTATATCAAAGATAAAACTAGTGGAATTGTTGGAGTAGTACCAATATACCTATAGTATTGAATCATAAAGTAAACGATACTTTAAGAGATAATTCTATACAAATTTGTATAGAAATAGCTGATAAGGTATAGGAAACATTTTAACTGCGATACAGTGATCTAATCTCTCAAGTCTCAATTTCAATATATGTCTGGATAGTGTCACCATCATAACCATAATAAATAGCAATTTCCCCTTTGGTTTTAGAGCGTATAAAAACAAATACCTATTGGTTTGATTTAGTAGAATATCCATGGCTGCTATGGATTGATAAATGAAGCTCAGAATGCAAGCGAAGATGTTGTAAATGTCAATCAGAAGGAATAATCGAATGGCTTGCGATGAAAATTTCTCCAACTTGCCAATTGCCCATCGATCGATCTTGCAATGGAAAAGTGCCACGATTGCACTACAGTGCGTTGTTGTTACAGTAGACAATATTTATAGTACTGTAGGTTTTTAGTAATGCTATTCCATTCAGTTTATCGTTGGCTATACTGAAAGCTGTATTTAGAGTTCATTAACGGCCATGGTATGGAAAGCAGTTGATTGATATGGGAACTTTGGACTGTAACACCCCTACTGTACACTGTACCGTATAGTACAGTACTTCGCTGAAAGCTGTTACGTGGTTGATTTAAAAGACAAAAAATTCCCATCCTATCTAAGGTATGTCAGGATGGCCGAGCGGTCTAAGGCGCCAGACTCAAGACTCAATATGTCTTCTCGTAATATAGCGCGAGAGAGAATTCTGGTCCACGTATGTGGGCGTGGGTTCGAATCCCACTTCTGACAGGGCCTAATTTTTTTTCCCATTCCTTGCTATGAATGCCTCTGTCCTTTTTGATGAATTATTAGTCGCTAGTCAACTCCGTGTTGTCATTCTTTCCTCCGTGAATATGATAAAAAAAACTTTCAAACTAACTACAGTAAGCAGTACATATTCCAGTTTTCGACCTCACAGGAATAGGGATACTTGGAGGAAAATTCTTACAGCAAATCCTGGCTGGGCCTGTGAGCTTGACGAGCTGTATAGCGTCCCTTTTTGTACTTTGATTACTGTATGGTGTACTCGGTAACTAACCATAACTCAACGAGTTAACGTAATGATTCAATTCTATTTTCTGTCTTATGATTGCTGGTACACAATGCTTGCCGAATCCCTATGTGCAAGTCAACAATTCCCGATGATGACTAGAGGAGAATTCTGCATCAAAGTAATGCACTCAAGCTACTGGACTGTGTGTACTACTTTGTATACTGTACTGTACTGTACTACAGGGTACAGTGCAGTAGCTGCTCGGTCAATAATTCTCATTGTTGGCAAAACTTTGGCGAAATAATGTATTAGAATTTTTTACAGTAATAGAGGATTATTATATATGTACACTTAGAAGAAGGTCTCTAGTGATTAGTTACGGAGTCAAACAAACCCCTTATTGGACGTATAATATTAAAATTGATGTCGAAGACACGATCTCTATTTCGACAAAATTGGCCATTTTATAGGCTACGTACTATTACAGCCTACTACCGTCAGTAGTCATTAAAGGAATCATTCTGCTATACTGTACTGTATGAATTGCACAGTTTGCAGTACAGTGCAGGGTGGAAGGGTGGACGGGCTAATATTTATGGATTTTTGTGAAAATGAAATATACTGTATTACAAATTTGATCTTATAACAGATTTCGTATCAGTCGATAGAGAAAGAGTTGATTTACATGAATCCGCCATTAAAATACTTGTACAACGTTAGTACATTTCTTCGTAATTACTCATTAAAGAACGAGAATTGCTACAGTACAAAGTAAAAATGAATTTTGACAGTGTACAGTACATTACATTCTCAACTATACAGTGTACTGTACAGTATGTTAGAAAATTCGGGAAGCTTGATATTGCAGGCCGCATTAACTTTCCTTTACTGTTAATAAATTATTTGGGTGGAAATCGTATTTGGATCATCTTTTCATTGGATTCCACAATTTTAGAGTTGATTAGCAGCTATGAATGATTATGATAATGAAGTATCATCGCCTTGTATGCTTAAAACCAAAGTTTTACACGAAATTTTGAATGAAGCTCACAGTTCTGATATCGTTGGAATTGTGTAAGTACGAGAACATAGTAAGCGTAATATTGTACTTGGTTAAATGTCTTGTTCAACAGCAACTTTTTTATTTTATCTTATGTGTACTTCTGGCGAAATAGGATAGCCATAGTGATTTGTGAATTCATTTCATCAAGTTTAAAATGAAGTATTGATTAAGATATTCAAATGCCTATACTGATTCATGAGTTCATTTTAATCTTGTTTTAAATTGATTATTGATTGAGATTTTCAATCTTGAAACTGTGATATTAATCTTTTGCAGCCATGGGTAGTTCATTACCATCACGTTTAAAAGGAATGATAGTGTATAGTTAATGAATTAGGCATTGCTGTATAACACGAAACATATTAATATTCTGTCTGTTTATAGGCTTATGACATTAGAAGGATCATTAGTTGCTTATACCAATCGAAATACAGATGAAGATTCAACTTCCTCTGCAGCTATTGCATCAAATATTTGGTCCTCCTATGTACACCTAGGTCAAATGGTATTGTATTCTGATGACTTAGACATGATTATGATCGATGGAAAGGTATAGCACAAAAATTTTTCATTGTTAATTTAATTTGTTTTACACCTAAACGATGATAGAATGGCCACGAATGCATCTTTCCCGATAGCATTATGATCAGTCCAACTTATTTCTGATATTAAAATAATGGGTTATAACTGTAGGATGGTCAGGTTGTCATCTCTAACGCTGCCAACATGTTGTTATGCATATTTGCCAAGCCTTCGGCCGCTATGGGTTTAATTAAAGCAAAGGTTAAGAAATGCAGGCCTTTTTAAACCAAGAGATTGATGAAATTGTTATTATTATAAATTTATGGTCTAAATTTCTAAATTATTTAACAAGATTATCTATGAATATTTACAGTTGCATATAGTTGTAATCGTGATATCTACGACGTAAGTTTTACTAACATTACTGTTTTTATATCTTACTGTAGGCACAAATACTTTGCCGCCATCTAGATAAGCCTTTAAGAAGCTTAAAACAGCAAGGGTAATAATCGTCCATTGCAATATCGATCATTGATCAGTCTTGGTATGACGAACAACTAGTGATCATGTTTCTACTGAATAGCTATTAAATATTATTGTGTAAATTTACTTATGATTGAAATAACTTTTAAAGAATTTTCTTGCATTATATAATTATTATTACTGCACGGCGTATAAGTTTTTGTTAGTAAGAAACCCGTTCAGGTAATTAGCTAAATACATTTTTCGTGACAATGTATTGAAGATAACCATGATTATCATTAACTGTTGATTTTAGACACTAGATCAAAATAGCTTCGGTACAATAAGCTATTTTTTTCTTTACCTGTATGATATTGTAAAGTTATAATATTCTGTATAATAAAGGAAGCTGACTATTCATAATTTTCCTGATGTTGTTTAACAAAAATGAGCGATGGAAATTGTCGTAGTGAAAAGATGTCGCTAATTTAAATTTATAATTTTATGTTTACTCAAGCATTAATGAATAAATATAAATTTTATTTGCGGCATGTCTGAATGGAAGTAGTGCTTTACTCTAAACGAACGCATTTAATCGTTTCCATTCCATCAACTGCAAGTGCAAGTTTTACTACCTTGGTTACTCTCATTGGCTTAGTTACTATATGAAGTCAATATTTTATGCTCTAAATGTCTGCAACTTTTTTAGTGTGTCATACGAGAATTGACCTACTTACATATTTCTAGATTAATAATTCTTTTAATTCTGGAATACTAGTACCGTCTCCATACTGCAATTACTCATAAATCTTCTAACTTCCTATCCATACAATCATGAATACGTATATACCTGTTTTGCATGGTATATTTTATCGATCAATAATTATAGTTATCGGATCTGCAATGTTTATGTCCAATAAATTATTTAAGAGAACATGATTAAAGTAAAATTTGGATTCTTGTAATTTCTGCCTTGGCTGAATATTCTGCTGGTCTAGGAGCAGATACTATTTCTTACCGACAACTTTTGCTTTTATGAAATTAGATCAATTAGCATATTTTTGCGGCAATAGCGTCCCATTTGAAAGATAGTAATGTAGGTGAAAATCCTTCCTGTATTCCATTCTTATATATTACAATACGCTATGTTTGATTCGTACATGCTAAAAGATATGCCTTTTATGTATCGTACAGTACAGCTTTGCATCCTTACAAATTATACATCTAGTTTTATTTTCTGACTTGATTAATTTATTTCATTAGCGATATCAATCATAGTTATCTATTTCTGCATCCTAAACTTCTCTCTACAGAATTCTCTAACGTAATATTTAAATAGAATCTTGAGAACTTAAAGCAGCGTTAAAGCTATATAAATAAAATATAGCCGCCTAAATCAGCAATATTGTTACCAATAGCAATTGTAAATGAAGCAGTTATAACTTATAGGATATTAGTTACCGATGACGAACTAGAGACTGAAATAGCAAAAAACTTAATATGTTCATAGATACCAAGTAAAGCTACTAATTATTAAATCATGGCATTTTTCGCTACCCAGCTGTTGACTTCAAAAATACTGTTATCAAGATATAAAATGAGCAATGACATATTTTGCGATCGGTTTGAACGATTGATGTTGTCTTGCTGTCCTAAGTAACCCGAAGTGGTTGCTTCTAAATGGTACAACAGATTTGCATATGACTGTATTAATTACTGGCATAAATACTATATTGACATTGTTCAGAATGCTATTAATTCAATATCTGGGTCCCTTTATTACAATGCTCACAGGATTTGAGACAAAACGACGGAAATATTACACAAAGTTGATATCGCTCTGCTAGTTGACAACCGAGAGTATAGCGATCAAAACAATTCACCTTAGCTTCAGGTGTACGCTATATTGGCTACGATCGCTGTCGTTGTTTTCTTAATTAATAATCATTGTAGTATATTATATTCCGGAGATTGCCTACGGGGAGGTCAAAGTAGAATGCATATAAATATAAACAAAATTCGTAAGTAAGATTGACCTTCTACCTCTGAGAATGATGACTATATTAATAGACTAGTATAAATTACTAGTGACGTAAGGATCACTGCTTCCATTTTGAATTGAAAAACGAAGAAGTTGTTAATGCAAAGTACGGTAAGAAGCGGTAACCCTTATTATTTTTAATATTATATGCCACACCATTTGCAGTGATATATTCACTATATTATTTTCTATCGATATAACGTACCCGTTGGGAAATAGGTTTTCCACATGAGCCAAGAATCACAACAGCCTGTGATCAACCAACAAACAAGAAAACTTCTTGAAGGTAATAAATATTCCTGGATTATGGGAAGTTAAAACGGAGTAGTAGTGCCATTCTAAATGCACTAACTTAGCTATGACTGTGCCCTATTCAATCCTACTGTAACCAATTTATGTAAAGATGAAAATACCTTCGCACAGATTGGATTCCCCATTTATTGCGTCAAATCATTTCCTGATTTCTTCATGTTTCATAGATCTTTTTCAATTCCTTTCTTGTGCATTGCCGTTTCATATACAACTAGCTGGCCAAGCTAGCTTAAAACGGTTAGAACTGATCAATAGATTGAAGGATGTTTTATCTGACCATAGTTCAATTGATGACGAAGAACAACAGGTTATATGCATGTTTATTAAAAATTGCTTCTAATTTAAAGTGATTTTAGCCGTCATCTCTTCTAAAAATGTTGCTACTCTGCAATTTAAAAATTATAAACTCAATTATGTTAATATCTGTATTTCTATTCATTATATAATAGCCAACGATTACATGTTCATCTTCTGACAGTACTAATCAATGTAAGTATTAAAAATATCGAAAGTAGCTATCCCCTTTGCTAGAAATGCGAAACAATCTTGCTAAGAAAAGCTGTAATGCTAACTTTATTAAACATTAAAAATATTCAATAATTAAAGGAAATAACATTTTGGAAGCGGATAAATTTTGAGCTATGCTTAACTGCGGTATCTTTAAAAGCTATACTCTAAGTAAATCTTTAATTTAGTATTCGTTATGAATTCAATGTTAAACAGTATCCACAGCACCACATATGTGACTGAGATTGAAGGTTACTAAGCTTTAGAATTTTTCGTATCGGTATATACTGATTATTAGAAGCCAATCATTGTATGGTATATGATAACTACATATCATTATAATATAAAAAGGGATTGAAACGAGATGATCGAGAAAATCACTTCAGTTATCGATTGTTGTATTTTAATAACTTATACTGATAATGGCCTCCAGTAATTAAGTATCAATAAAAGCAAAAATTTAGTCAGTTAAGACCAATCACTATCACCCTATTTGAGAAAATTGTTTCTAAGTAATATTTGGCTACATTACGGTTATTGCGCTAAAATTCAGTTGACAATACATAACTATTACTATTTGAATACAGTATTTGAACTACTGTTATTCTAAAGTATAGCTACTAAGAAAACTCTTACGTTAAAAGTCAGTAGATAATGGATCGATGTATTACTTTTCAAATAGCTTACTATTCTTTTTAACGAATTTTTTTCTTTAAGCTAGTAATCAATGATATTTTTTCACTCTTTTTATTTTAAATAAAAACACAAAGCGTAAATTTTATGCTATTTAATGAAGTCAATTTTAATTTAACGCAATATCCTTCGTTAAAACGTACGCATAATTTGATGGTGTCATTTATGTGCTGATAACTATTAGTAAGTCGTGATAGCGGATCCAGCCAAAGAAGTTCCAATGCTAGCAACATCCAAGGTAACTCAAATTGTAACATATTCGATTTAGAGGCTGCAATGGAATTCTTGATTTGTGTGTTTAATTAATAATTGTTGGTATCTCTCCTGTATAGAAGAGATCTTTATAAGTATTAGCGTATAAAATTAGCGATATAATATAATTTCGACGATAAGAAAAAAACAATACATGGTCACTTATCAGATTCGAAAGGATCGAAAGTCGACCAATGAGTTAATTTAGCATAAATATGTGACAGAATTTATTTTTAAATTAACAAATTTATATTATGCTCAATTTGAAATTTAAAGCTAAATCTGTCATAAGATAGCATTAATCAGTTCATTTTACTAAGATCTATTTACACGTTTTAAATATGAAGTGGTAAAATAATTTATCAAATTCTGTTTACACAAAATTTAGCTCAGTGTATCTAAAATGTACAGAACTATTTAAAATGAGTTGACACCATTCGAAAGGTTCATATTAATTTAAAGCAGAAACTGTTATGTATTTCATTAATCTAGCGACTCTCCATCAAGATGGAACATTTTTATCAGAAGGATTAGGTGCCAAAAATCGATACAAGGCTGAATATGACCATGCAGGCCGCGATGATACTGAATTAACATTTGTTAAGAACGAAATTATTTCAATTGGCCATAAATTAGACGAAAATTGGTGGATTGGATTGAAAGATGGTATAATTGGTCTGGTTCCTAGTGCTTTCCTCCGGCCTACATGGTAATTGACTTGTTAGGCTATAATTTGATTGATTCATGTAAGTTTAGGTAAGATTATTTACCAGCAACTAACAGATCATTATTCTATTTGGATTTGGCAGAAGCTTAAAATGTGTATTAAACCAATAAGGTTTTATTATTTTAGTTAACAGTAATCAATGATAACTAATAAGATTTAAGGGAGATTATTACCTGTATTCTTAAAAATATTATATTACATTAAAAGAGCCAGTTACTTATTTATCTTTTCATCTTTCCAGTGTCTTGTTAGCTAAAATAGCCATTGAAATACTGTATAGTATCGGTTTTATGAGATAACGATAAAAATTTGCTTTGTAAATTAATAACGGCTCAATAAATAGACAACTCAAAAGTAAATCCTTGATGATCGTAATCTGCGATTTATGCGGTTTTTATCTAGTGATTGGAATAATATTTATCTAATTCAATCTATATAGTAAACAATACTGTATCAATACTACTTCAAAAAATTGCAATTTTCATTTCCATGTGATGTTCAGTTGCGAAATCATTCAATTGCTTCCTTAACTATCAGATTTAAAGTAAGTTGACTGGAACTTCTAGGAGGATATTAGATGCAGCTACGATTTATCAATTTCTAGTTAAAATGAAACTTCAGAATGAAACAACTATTAGCTTTCGAATATTAGTTATAAATGCGATAAAGCAATGTCATCGATGCTAATGGATTTGATAGCTATTAATTTGGAACGGTATTGATGATGCCTATAACCAGCAGGTATCACTTCATACAAAAAAGCCATCATTTGACGGTAAAAATGCAATATTTTTAAGGCTCGATTTGGTGATGTCTTAGATATTTCCATTTAGTAGCTATTTTTAATAAATACATTGCGATTTTGTCCGATTTCGGTCATAAATTATAATTATATGTTTCACGATTCTGTGAGCATACATAGTTAATAGTATGTTATAGTTGTTAGCCAACTGTAGCACGTACTCTTATAATAAGTAAGGACATCATCTTATCTAGTATTGACATACTTGCGGTTTTATGCTGTTATCATAAATTAATCTGCAATACAGTACATTCTTGCTTAGTGTACATAAAATGGAAATTATTATGTTCTTAGAAGAGTTCTGTGCTATGAGAGACTTATGAGTTAGCATATAAAGAACTTGCTAAGCTAGAAATAAGGAATTAAGTAAGTAACTATCGTGTGAACTCTTGGATTGTTCTTGTGAAACATAACAATGTACATTATTAGATTGCCAAATGATTCTCATATGACCTACGAAGAAGATATAATTCACTTAATTTTTGATCATAGAATAGAGTTATGCTGATAATTTAGAAATCTTTTCAGAATGCTTACGTTTCTTCTTAAAATTTAAAAGAATTAGCTTACTATTTACGATTAATTACTACGATATCTGTTTACCTACATAATAAACTTCAGATATATCGCTAAGTCTCCCAGAAAGCGATATTTTGTAGCTGATTTATGATACGTTACGAGCAAATCGTTGCCGATGAATATATTTTATGTATCGATGATATATCATTGAATTTTTCACAATGAGATTATTTCTTTCAGCAAGGCAACTACTTGTAACTCTAATTTCAGACTTAATTCTGAAAATAGCTCATCTTAACTTGTATTGATATTATTTTGCGAGCCAATAACAGTAAGTGAATCTTATCAGAGCCCTGCAACAATGTAATAAATATTTAAAATTATGAAAACTCTTGTACAATTTGCTACTTTATCGTCGATAGTAAGATAAATAGATATACAATTTAGCCTTCGTAAATGGATGGCAGCGCATTCCATTCTGCATACATCGTATTCTTACGATAGTTATGGACGAGTAGGCTAGAAATTTTACTGTTAAACTGGTGTCTGGCTAATCTTTTGGTTGTTATCTTTATCTACGCATATTCGAATTTATCAACATTCTATAGTTGAGTACCCAAAAACACGATTAAATAATCCCAAAAATGAGCGCTATTCTTTCTTTGGAAAGTTGCCGAATCAATGACACGTCATACTAGTTCCGGTTTTTACATTACCATATATAACATTGGACGCTGATTTGAAAGATAATAGCTTTGATTTCATAAAGCACCGGAAAAAACAGATATTAAAAACATTCTTTATGTAATACATTATGCCTCCATTCAAACCAGGAAATAGATGAAGGTATTGTTACTCAAGATACTGATAAATGTTGAAATCTTACGAATTATTACTTTTGTTTATACTAGTATAAATGGTGAGAAAATATGAATTGAATGAAAGAAGTTTAATTAGTAAATGCAGCTTCCTAAAATAACATTTTAGATATTTGCAATAATTCTAGTATGGCCCTAAATTGGCGTCAAAGTATAATTTGTCATAAATAAGAATTTTGCTAGAGCCATAAATATTTCTAAATGCAGCAGCGATTTCGCGTACTTATTGCCAATTTGGGCCACTATATGTACGCAAGAAAGTGAAATAGAATGATACTAGTGCAAACTCCCGTCGCTTTGCTGACGGTTTACGATAATGTGCTCATTTAACAGATAGTATATTACCATTTGTCGTAGACCTGTCAGAGGTTCAGTAACTTATACCGTGTACTTCATGCATCATTTGACTGACAAGTACTGTAGGGTTGTTCGTGGCATAAGAATTTTTCTGTTGAGCGACAATCCCATAAAATTTAATCATTTCGTAATGATGAATATTTACTTTTTAATAACAGTCATACAGATTTTATTAGTGAAATTCACATTTCACCATTTGCTTTCATATATGCTTAGGGTAGAAAATGCCGTTTTACTATAACATATCAGTTTATACCTACACTTGGTCGGCAATGCTATATGATCATCATCGATATCTGTATCCCCGATTATACCGAGGTGTGCATAAGGCAGAATTATGAAAACATGATTATTTTATTATTATCCAAGGCGATAACTGCTACTAATACTATAGATAATCAGTATTATTTATGAAAGTGATGCTTTATTACATTTTCGATAGTACGACTGCGAATTGATTGCGAAATCTGGATAAATTCTGATTCTAACACCTAATTCAAGTCTCAAAATGGCAACCGATTATTATTTACATTTCTAATAATTGTAATAGTTTCGATTTTTATTTGGTATCTTAATCTTTTAAAAGTGAGAGATTGATTTTTTGGTGAATATAGAGCTATGTGTCAGCAACAGAAACTAATAGTGCATAAAACTTTTATTTTAGACAACTAGAAATAGGAGGAGAAAAACTTTATTCTATCTTTTACATTAAAATATGCAATGCATGACATTAAATATTTCATTTAGTGAAAACGACTTTCTCAATATTTTCCTATCTCATATACAACACGATCTTAAGCCTGAAAACTTTAATTAATCCAAGGATAAACATAACTGGCTTAACTTTAGAAGTGATTATCTGCAGGTACCGTAAATATAACTACGTTTGATGGTCATAATCCTACTATGAAAAGAAATGAAGGTGATATACGAGTAAATCTACTCAGAGAGGATCAACATATTCTGTAATTCTAAATATATGATTTTAGCAAGTAAAAGCTAAGATTTAACGTAAAAAATCTGCCCTCATAAATCTTTTTTTATTATAGATATTGGTTTATTCTTATTCGATTACTCATGCCTACAAACCATTACGCTAATATTAAATCCATCACTGTCAAAAGAGTCTGAAGTTTTTCAATCCTTTTGCTAATTAAATTAACTCACGATATTTCAATATCATAGGCAATTAATGATTCCAAGACATACACAAATGATAATTTCATTTATACCGTACTGAAACGAAGATTGCTACTGCTATTTCTTGCTTTAAGTCAGAGACCCAGAGTAACTGAGTGAGAAGTTATTTCCAGTGTTATTCTCGCAGAAAATCGCTAAACTGACAAGATTGTGCCAACTAAATGATTATCGGATAAGAAAAAGCCTATTATATCCAGCACCATAATTGCAAATTACTGCATATTGGTAAACGTTTCTGTTTTTGCTATTTGTTAAAGTGAGTATCCACGTAACCAGACAAATATTATTACAGCTCGTGCAACGGTGTAAATGGATCATTATTATTACTTGAACGGGTAACTAGGCTACTTTGTACCAACACAGGCGCAACTCGATTTTCCGTCGGTAAAGTGCAAATTTTGACCATAGATTGAAATAGTTGGTTCATTTGATGATTTAATTCGTCATTATAGTGAAACCAAAGTATAACATTAGCTAGAGGAGTCATTCCGTAAAATAATTGAGCCATAGTGTAGAAGACCACGAAGTGCGGGAACGAATTAAACGTCATATACACATTGCCTTCACAATAACCGAGTAAAAATAAGACGATTGCCCATAGCACCGATAGGAGAGTACTAGCTAATGTTGTTGCTGTTAACATTTTAATGACTTGTCTTTTTCGCTTTTCATATTGGCCAGCAGGTGGAATAGATAAACTACCAACAACTTGTACGATCGAATTTAAGCGAACGATTAAACGTACATAACAGCATATTAAAATTAGATCAGGTATAAAATAACAAGTAATGGCTAGAAATGGATAATAAAAGCTGTAAAATAATTTATAATCCGATCTTAGTTCGCAGTAGTAAGGATAGAAAGGATGGACTGTAATAAGGAATAATTGAGGAGATGTGATAATTGCACTTACAAGCCAGGCTATGATGAATGTTCGCCGCCGTCTTTTACGTGATAAATTTGTTTTGGTGGGATAAATTATAGCACGATAACGTTCGTAGCATGTTATTAGCAACAGGACCATGGAAGTCGTATAACAAAGTGCTAATAAAGATCGACTTAAGCAGCAATGAACAGTCAAAATGATTAAGTCAGGCTTCTTGTATTGATAATCGTAAAGCAGCAAGGTTGCCACTTGCGATTCGAGAGAGGTGCATGAAAAGATTAGAAACGTACTAGCTAAATTGGCAATAAGGAAAAAGGTAGGTGATTTCCTTTGAATTTTATAAA